TGTGCCTTCCTACAAGCTTACAAGCAACTTTGGACGGACGGATGAAATGGGTGACAGAAATATACGCCCCCATTTTACATTGCCGATGTCCAGGAAAAATTTCCTTAATTACAGATAGCACCATGAGCTCAGTCAGGTGCAGGGAGTATAGGACAAAGCTTTCGTCAACCGGAAATGAAATGCATTATGGTGTATCAGCACCAAAACGGTTTATAGCACCTAAACATGTAAGATTAACTATGTAGAATTATAATGGAACAAAATCAAGAGACAAAATACAAGGCTGCAAAACATAGCACAGTCAACTGTAAAAGTTGGAACCAGGAAGCAAAAAAAAAAACAAAAAAGTCATAATTACCCACTAATCTGGCTCGCAACAAATAGAAATTCGGAGCCGTTTGTAATTGCCAAAATTCATCTTCAGCTAGTTTTCTCTGTCGTTGAGCATAGCATATACTTAAACTCTTTAAGGGATAGTTGCGCCATTTTGAGGGGTTTGATATCAGTCTTGAATATATGTAAATAGTCTTCATAAGTACTAGAAATGTACGAAAATCGCATATTTCCTTCAAAAATATCAAACTATAGGAATTTTAATCACTATTTCTATATATGCACAGAGTATCTTAAAATGACGAGTCGTCAACGAGTCGCCAATTCTGGCCACACATGCAATTTCGACGGGAACTGTTAACACTATTACTGCTTGCCTTAGCTAAAAAATCCCATTTTTAAAGTATGAATGGTGAAAAAGAATGGCGCACCAGTCCCTTTGAGAATGTTCTTTAAATTGTCCCATCATACCAGTGGTTCAGTCTCAGTGGTACAAGGGGTATGCTGCAGATGATTTTATCATGTTACGGATTTTAAAGCAATACCCAGGGTCTTTTAGAGAAGAATTATTGAATACCCAAACACCCGATCCTTTCTTATAATTTCAAAATTCAAAATTACACTAATAAAACTATGGTCACTAGAACTGTTATGCGAGACAAAACAATAAAAGAGTGTTTCACTACAACGCAAGATAAAAATAGTCGTTTCGTGATTGTTTTAATTTGCCTTGAACAAGTTTTTTACGCTTCCAGGTCACACAATGAATGATCAATTTTTAAAGTTAGCGAAAGTACTATCACTTTTGCCATAACATGACATATTTTCTGATTGATCAGTGAAGGGATTCAGAATATCATTAAAATCACAACAACATTTTCTGAAAGAAGTAATCGATCAGCAACGGACCGAAAAAAATTCACGAAGCCCTGTTTCATCATTCGGCGCATAAATACCAAACAATAGCATTGCAATCCAGAACTTTACCGTTCTGATCAGCATATACTACCTTGAAGCTACAATCGCTATTACTGTCTAAAACTCACCATCCCATAAGTGATAATAAGATTCAATAAAACAGCTAGAGCCACCCATGGCACAGGGTGGGAGTTTGCCAATGTGCCAATTTACAAGGGAATCTGAAAAAAATCAACCTTCTAGGCTTATTAGATAACGTGCTAAAGCAGTCAAAATTTTTCCAAAAAAGTGTCTTTTTGGAAGGTTGTGAAACGGGAAGTATACGCCAGAATCCCGATAGTATCAGCACTCAGATATACAGGGATTATACCATCACAGATTTTCCCTGTTGCTCTCTACGGTTTCCTATTTACAAAGTTAAGATATAAAAAGTTATATAAAAGATGGTGCGACTTAACCTTGTGAATGTTACAATATGACCGTATTGTTAGTTCTTATTAAAATTTAGAATGTTTAAAATTAATCGAAATTAGGAGAGCAAATCATCACTTTGAGCCTGGTATCGGGTTCGATTCCCGGCCGACGCAAGATAATTTTTGATCTTTGAATATGTGCACGGCTTGTTTTCAAGCTTCCTTCAGTTTTCTTTCGCCGAAAATACATCAAAAAACATCCTGCAAAATTTTTTTATCCGTGGTATGATCCCACTACATTTCGAACATTTTAAATAATTCTGTCACTGTATCTAAAACCCGGCGTGGCAAAAGCGATGTACGGTCCATTAACCCCCATCGGCGAATCTCTCGAACAGGAAATTTGTCATAAATTTTGAAATGTATACCGATTACATGAGACAGTGGCGCATTCAGTCGCATGAAACAACCCGTTGGAACAGTTGGGGTTATTGTTCAATAGAAAACAGAAGGAAAATTATTTGTCAGAAGTGGGGGTGAATGGCAGCGAAGGAAGATATCCTTGAATCTGGCGCCTTTTTTATATCTTATTTTATCACAGGAACAATATAATCACAAAATACAAGTTATGAAAAGTTATAAAATATTGCACACAAAGTTAGAACGTAAAAAATCAGAAAAAAAAAATTATTTATTTAAAATTGACATTTACAGTGTCACTAGTTATTTTTAGATATGGATTAGAAACAAAAGTCAACATGAATTTATTGGCATAACCTCTGGATTTCAAAATTTGTTGTATATATTTGATTTGATTGGTAAACATAGTTTTGAACAAACCTACTACATTGATTAGTTTCCCTGACTTAACATACATATCTCTCCTCTTCATAATAGCCAATATAACAGTTAAAAACACTAAAATAAGTAATAAATTGTCAGAGGTATATTTAACAGGATACCCAAATAATAACCACGTATGGAAATCATGGTTGTTATAACCAGTTGATTGCAAAAAAAAAACTTCAATCAAAGCTGATATTAGATTTAACAATTCAATTATGGATGGACAAAGAATGAATATATGTTGAATTCTTTCTTCCTGAATACCTATATAATAATGTCTTATAAAGTGTTGATGTTTTCAAATCATCAACCTCAAAGAAAAGTTTTACATTAACCTCATTCCATTCCATTTCATTTCATGGGAAAAATCCAACCAATCTATGAACTCCCAAAAAAACAAGACCTAAATTCCCTACATTTCATAAATTCCCTACATTTCATAAATTCTTACAGCAAAACACCCTACATTTCATAAAACATCCTAAATTCCATACATTTCATACACTAAAAACATCTTCAATCAATATCCTACATTCCATCAAAGAAAAAGTATATTAAAAATACCCTTATATAAAATAACATAACATTTTTAATAGCCTCGTTTTAAGTAATGTTATTTTTAGTCTAGAAACTTTTAGAAGGGAGATAACTTTTTTTGGATAAAAAACAGACTAAATTAATTCATTTAAAAATAGGATGAGTTTAATTCTAAAACACGAACAACACAGATTCGAAGATTATTCGGGCGACGGTATCTTTTCTTCATTATTTTCTCTAGGTAAAACAATAATTCCAAAAGTAGCTAGCTTTGTTTCAAAAAACAAATCACTCATTTCAAGCGGAGCGAAAGCCGTCGACTCAATCGCTGAAGCGGGAAAGAGTATAAGCGACACAGTGAAACAATCTAACGAGTTGAAAGAATTAGAGCTAATAAGAGAAATTCGAAACAGGAGATTAGAAGAAAGGAAAGGAAAAGGTTTTAAAGTTATAGGATAAAAAATGATTGTCGCTCACGCTCCAAAAACTTATTTCGGTTCAGGAGATATACAAAAATCATTGGGTTCTCTTCCTGGATTTCCATGGGCGAAATATCCCGGAGAAAAACATCTCCCAGGGCACAATTATACAGGTCCCGGCACGAGATTAGATCTGCGATTAGACGAAAACGATAAACCCAAACCAGGGGAAGAACCAGTCAATAGAGTAATATTCCAAATCCAACTTTCAAAGAGAGAATGGAAAGAGCATTAATCATTAAACTGTTAAAAGCAAAGATGAAATTAGGTATGGGATTGGCGGATGAAATTCATAAAGAATTTAGAAAAACTAAAAACTTTTTAAAAGTCAAAGTGTTTGAAAAAGATGAAATATGGTCAGCCGATTTAATTCATATGCCAGTCGAAAGAGGATTTAAATATTGTTTAACAGTTATAGATTTATATACGAGATATGTATGGGTTATTCCTTTGAAAAACAAAACGGGATTATCAGTCAAACACTCATTTGAAACAATTATGTAACAATCTAACCGTCATCCAGAAAAACTATGGGTAGATAAAGGAAGTGAATTTTATAACAAAAATATGAAATCTCTGGGATTTGAAATTTACAGTACTCATAACGAAGGTAAAGCTGTAGTTATTGAAAGATTTAACAGGACTCTAAAAAATAAATTATTCAAAAAATTCACTGAATTAAAATCCGAAAAATGGCTTAAAATATTACCAGATGTTGTAGATGAATACAATAACAAAATTCATTCATCTATAGGTGTCACACCAACACAAGCCTCGAGTAATCCAAATATTATAAAGTCAATTAACGCGCATCATAACTACGAAAATGAAATAAAGAATTTAAATATCAAACCCAAATTTAAAGTTGGAGATCGAGTTCGTATTTTCAAATATAAAAGTAAATTTGAAAAAGGTTACGTTGGATACTGGACGAACGAAATATTCATCGTTGATAAAGTAAACACCACATCACCTCCAACATATGAATTAATCGATCAAGACAAAGAACAAATCATAGGAAGGTTTTATCAAAACGAGCTTCAAAAAACCGACTTTTAAAAATGAATGAATTTCTCGATAAATATGGAACCGATACAACCACAAACTTTCAACTTATGAGATGGGCGAATGAGTTAAATATATCACCGTTTTATTATTGTATGAGAGATGAAATAAATAATCTGAAATATAAGAAAGGTAAATTTTACGCTATAACAAATATACATACTTCCGATCAAAAAGGAGTTCATCATTCTGCTTTGTATAAAGACTCTGACTTTTATTTCTTCGATTCTTATGGATTAGAACCCACTGAAGAGATAATCCAATTGACTAATAAACCAATCAAATGTTCAACATTTCAAATTCAATTACCGGGACAAAAGTTTTGTGGTCAACTTTCACTTTGGGTTTTATATCAGTTGAGTTTAGGAAAACAGTTTGAAGAAATTGTAATAAATTTAACTCAATAAAAATGGCGAATAAGTTTGGATTAGGTTCTTTATCTTTAGAAACTAAAAAACCTAACACTACAGCGTGGATAAATAAAGCAAAACCTTACTTTGTGGATCAAATCGGAGACACTCTTCAAGGTGATTTAGATATGAACAATTTTAGCATAACTAATTTAAAGTCTCCGGAAAACGATAATGCCATTCACAAGAAATATTTAATGGAACAATTAAATTTAATTGAAGTAAATAAAGACCATTTAAAAGAAAGAATAAATGATGTGAAAAGATTCTTCAAACGACAAATGAAAAATAAAGATTTTATTGATGATACTAAATTACAACAAGAAGTAACAAGTTTAAAAAGTTTTATTGAAGAACAATTAGTCAACGTAACGAATAAAACTGAGTTACAAAATTTAATTTCATTAATATCTAAATTAGAGGATAAGATTACAAAACAAAAATTAGACATTCAACAATTGATAGATAACATTCCAGATGAAAATACGTTTCAACAGGAATTAAATGCTCTGGAAACTAAACTTAACAGTGAATTACAAAAAGAATTAACAAATATTCAACAACAAATACAGAACATTGATGATAGTGTTATTCAACAACAGATAACCACTATTAATAACCTAGTTTTAAAACAGGACAAAAATATACTCACATTAGAAAAGCAACTCAAGCAAGAAAATAAATCATATTATTTCAATCTTCCATTTAGAAGTTTGAGACAATACGTTACTTCTATTACTGATAATATTGATAAACCAAAAGACTATGAATATAAAAATTATGGATTTACAGTAAATATTAGAGTATATTCTGTTCCAAATTATACTATTCATCCCATAAATATTTTTGTTCTAGATGATGATGTACCTCAACAACCAATATATTTTAGATTTCGAGGAAAAAATTACAATTGAAATAACTTTTCCTTTTCAGGTAAAAGTTGATTCAATATTCTTCAGACAAAACTCACATACATTTAAAAAATTTAACGCTCGCAAAGTTCTTCAGTTTATCAATGGTACAAAAAATGTAGAAACTAAAGAATTAGAAATTAACGATGAAAACACCAAGAGAGATCACTTATATGAAATTAAAACGAGTGGAAAATATATAGATAGGTTAATCATACCAGATAATGAAGAAGAAGATCTTTCATTGAGTGATTTTGATATGATATTGGAAACGGAAACTCCACCATCAACGAATATTATTAAAAATCCAGAACCGAAAAAAGTAAGAAACAATTATGAGTTTTTACGAGCAACAGACTTTGAATACGTAAAACTATATTTTGTTGATAATGATGCATTTACCTCAATTGATATTCATAAAAGTCAACAACAACAAATTTTTTTAATAAGAGATGATGTGTATTTTTTTATATTAATCTCTATTGAAAAACCAAAATTTTCAGTTCATCTGAATAAGATTAATGATTCGAAAGAACAAATATCGTTAGTATCTGTAAAACTTTTTTTTGAAGATAGTAAACACGAAGTAGCTTTATCAGAAATTCACTTAATTTAATTACCTAAAAATGGAACTCGAAAGTAGACAAAACTACATGATAGAAAAACAAAATGAACTAAAAGAAAAACTAAAACAATTCAACAAATGCAGAAAAACATGGAGTAGAATTGATTCTGTTTTCAAAACATTAAGTACAGTTTTAACAATAGGGATAACAGTGGCAACAGCCATAACCGGTGGATTAATGCTTCCAATAATTGTCCCAACTGTATTAGCCGCGTTCAACGCCGTTCAAACTTCATCTTGTGGTTTGATTACTTTAGGTTTTACATCAAAACAGAAAGCTCATTATAAAAGGAAAACAGAAATTTTAAATACATATCTAAATAAATTGTTTATATTTTTCGAAAGATCGAGAGAGGATAAGAACATAACCATTGAAGAATTAGAAGAATTCAATGAAATTTTTGATAAATTTGATGTAGAAATATCATCAATAAAAGTTAAAAATTCCTAGTTAAAAATAGTTGCTTTAAAAATATGAATAAAATTGAATTTATATCAAGTGAACTTTTTATCCAATGTTATTGAGCATATCGCTGACGAATTTTTATCATTTAACGGACAAATTGAAATTGAGATGGAAAGATAACTCAAGATGGAAAATACAAACAAGACATAAAATTTGTAGGTTTTGATACCATGACTTTTGTCAATTTCTTCATTGCGCTGGATAATAAATTGAATGCCTCCGATTGGTATTTCACAGGAAAAATGATTTTCCGTAAAAAAAATTTCAAAGAAATAAAAAAGGGTAGTGGTGATCTTGTGGATTGATCACTTTAGGTTTTTTACATCAAAGCTCATTATAAAAGGAAATTTTAAATACATATCTTAATAAATTATTCATTTTTTTCGAGACAAGAACAGTTAAAAAATTCCTAGTTAAAAATAGATACTTAAAAAAGAATGGATAAAATTGGAAATTTAAACGAACCATTATCTAAAACATATTTTTCATTGATATTCAATTCAATACCTAATATATTTTCAACCAAATTTAGTGAAAAAGATACAGAAGAATTTGAATATATAATTGATGATGTAGCTGAAGTTTTTGAAAAAGAGGAGAATGAAATTAAAATATCAACCTCAATTATGCTTTTTTCAGAATTAGTCAAGAGAATAACTATTCTATTTAAGGATTATAAAATTAAAGGCCAAATTGAAATAAATGGTCAAATAAATCAAAAAGGAAAACACAAACAAGACATGAGATTATCTGGATTCAATGCTCAAACTTTCCAGATTATTTATCCAAAGATGCATGAAACCTCTGATACATCTGATTGGTATTTTACAGGAGAGATTATTTTGCGCAAAAATAATTTTAGAATAGTAGAAAGATCAAAAAAGGGAAGTGGGGTTAACCTACTTAAAAAGATAAATGAATACATAGGAAAAAATTGTTACATACCAACCGATTGTTATTGTTTTATAAAGTGTGTAAATTACATCACGAACACGGATTTAACAAGGGAATTTCAAGATTTCATCAACAGTTTTCAAAAATCAAACAGAAAAGGAGTTATGACAACTGCTAGAATTTCTAAATTCAATAAGAAATTTAATACTAATTTTCAAATCTATAACCCTAAAGACAGTCATTTTCAACCAAAGAAAGTAACCGAAGAATTAGATTGGGTTTTTTATTTACACAAAGAACATTTCTGTATTAAAGAAATAGAAGATAATTACGATGAAAATGTATGGAGAACTTGTAAAGATGATGTGTAATGTGTTTCGCACAGTTAAAACTAAACGTTTTTTCGAACATATCCGATAACTGTTTATACGCGTGGGATTGCGAAACCTATTGCGAAAAAGAAACGAATAAATCCATTCCTTATTGTTGTACTTTAGTCAATTTGGAAAAACTGAGGAAAAGATTAGATGATTATAATAATTATTTAAGTGATTTAAGTGAGACTCTAGATTTTAAGCCGTCAGATCCCATTTCAGAAGAATATTACAACATACTCATGACTAATATAGTAGAAATATTTGTAGGTACAGATTGTATAGATCAAATGTTACAACGTTTAGGAAAAGTAGATGAAAAGAGATTAACATTGATTTCTCATAACGGTAGCGGTTTTTAAACTGGATTGCACTTCAAAGCGTTAAAAAACTAACACAATGTCCACTAGTAGTAGATAATAAAATTCTTTCTCTTCCTTTATCTAATCCATATACAGAAGAAAGATTGCAGAAAAAATGGAAAAGACCGAAAGAAATAATGAGTAACTCTAACTATTTACAAAATATATATCTTTCACTTGTTCATTTAAACATCAAAGCACTAGTTTGGCGGCATGGGGAAATTCATCTAATCTACCGATGAATTTGAGAAATATCACCGATATTAATATTGCAAAATTCACCAAAGAAACCTGGGAATCTTTAAGACCCGAATGGGAAACTTACGCTAAAAGAGATACATTGTGTCTCGGAGCTTGCTTGATAAAATACAATCAAGCCATGAAAAAAACTGTCTTCCAAAACGATTCCAATAATCTAACGGCTCCTTCTTTATCTTTAAAGGGTTGGTATTATTTATATCATTACAATAAAGAAATGGTATGAAACTACTAGAATGGTTCCGAAACATACGGAAAAACAAAACGTAGAAAAAGTTTACTCACATACTCAACCTTTTATAAGATATTTTATCAGACAAAGTATTAAAGGAGGGAGAGTCTCTGCTAACAGAAAATCATTTGAAACGGATAAAATGAATGAGATCTGCGCCATATTAAAAGAATACAATGAAAGTGACACTGAAGGAATAATAGATTTATTCAAAGAATACAGTGTTAACCCAAAAGATAAAATGGAAGTTCACGCTAAACTCAAAGAACTGGACTATTCTAAACTGATGACATTTGACGCTAATGGGTTGTACGCTTCCGCCATGACAGAAGGTGAATATCCTAAAGCGGAAAGTGCAAGAGCGTTTCTACCAGAAGAAGAAAAAGAATTTGTAAAACTCTTCAATAAACAAAAATTCAGACCTAGAACTGCTATTTTAAAAGTCTGGTTTGAATATCCCAAAAACATGTTCTTTCACCCCATACCAGCTAAAGATAAAATAACTTTTACGAATAGAATAGGTAAGAAGGAAACTGGGAGTAAAATCAGGTTCAGAAATGGTTTCTGTCACGACGTTTTAACATCAGTTGATATTCAAGAAATAGTGAAATCCGGTGGTAAAATTATTAGAATATCAGAAATGGTATAGTATACGAAGAAAATTTTAAAACTCCACCATACAGAGATTATATTTTAATTTTGAAGGAATTAAGGAATAAATACAAAAATAATTGCATGAAATTATTAGGTAATTCCTTATACGGTAAATCTATTTAGAAGGATATAAATACATCGAGACATCTATGGAGTGAAGCGACTTTTAAAGCCAACTATGATTCACACGTCAAAAGTTATGAAAAAGTAAATGAGACCCAATATATCGTTCAGATTAAATACGAAGTAAAAGAGTTTGTTCCTCCAAAGGATTTTACTAGATTAACACCCACTCATTTAGGTGCATTTATATTATCTCACAGTAAAAAAATAATGAACAATTTCATTCACGTAATAGATGGATTTTTAAGCCGGAAATATACTATACAGATACTGATAGTTTATACATTTTGTCTAGCAATTGGGATAAATTAAATGAAGCTGGGTTGGTGTCTGAAAACGAAAGGGAAGAATGATTACGGTGATGGTGGAATTATATTTGGTTTATATTTAGCGCCAAAAATAAAATACAATATCATTCTAACTTCCGACGGTATTCTAAAAGAAAAGGAAAACGTTTAAGGGTTACTCTAACTATAAGATTAAGGTAGAAGACTACATTCAATTAGCTAGTGGACATGACGTAACGAATGAATTTGATAAACCTTGGGTAAAAAGTTTTACTGATGGAATAGTTATTCCCAATGAAAAACAAAAGAAAGTTTTCAGAAGTTATCTGAATCTCGTTAAGAGAAAAGCACCAAACAGTGAAGGAATTATGTATCCTTACAGCAATAAAGATAAGATGTGTTTGGATGATGATTATGTATTTGATGATTTTGATTATTTTACAAATGAATCTAATGATGATCCATCAGAATAAATTTAGTTCTTTTGTTTTAAATGAAGTTGAATAACAATTTCCTCGTTACCAAAATCTATAACCCTATTTTTACCATCTTTGATTTCCAGATTTATATCTTTAATCATAAAGGAATTAAATGGTAAATACGTCGTTTGAAATGTTTTCTCTATAATTCTATATCCAATAGGAACAGTGAATGTTGGAAGACTGTAAATAATCTGACGTTTGTATTTATTGAAAAATCCACCGTTTATTAAATTGCAATGTATATTTATCACATCGATATCATTCTCGATATTAGCTTTGTGTGGTGCTAAAGTGGATTGGGTGTATATTTTTTTTAAAGCCTAGTAAAGTATTCAATGAATTTTCTACGTTGAAATCAACTTGACTATTATCTCTTAATATCAATTTTATTTTGTTTAGATTCAAATTACCTTCGAATTCAATATTGTTTTTACCATTGACGCTTCCTGCGTATTCAGATAAGTATTCGTTAATGGCTAGACGTATGGTTTTGAACGTAACTCCGTTATCTGTTGATATTTTTATTCGGTTATTTTTTTCGTTGATATTTCTAATGGAATTGTAAACAGAGAAATACTTTAATCCCTATTCATATTCTTGATTGCGATCGAGTTCATACTCATAATCTAGAGATAATTTAATGTCTGATTTATTCGAGGTGATGACGAATAGTTGTTCTTTATTTGACATTTTTAATCACGCTTTTATAATCATTTTTATCTATGATACCTTTTTCTATGAGTCTTTTTAATATACAATTCACTTCATTATATTGTGCGATCGATGTCCTTCCTTCATGGCCGCTAATATTACTCGTAATCTATTAAGTAGTTCCTCGTTGTTGTCGGATAAAAACGTTATACCTTCTCCAGATACCATATCTTCGAATTCGTCTATTTCTTGTGTGATTGGTGGATAATCACCTAACTCCTCTTCATCACGTTCAATTACTCTTTTATATATTTTAACTTCTTTTGATCTTCTTGTTTCGGGTCCTGACTTTCTTATTGCATCTAGAAATTTTGAGTATGCTACTAAATCCTTGTAATCGGCAATTTCAACATCCTCGTTATTCATTAAATCTATTAATCCTTTCGTTAATGTGTATATATAATCTTTTGTATCGATTATAAATTCGGGGGTATTTGCCCTAAATCTTATTCTAAATCCATTAAACCGTAACCCTGCTTCATCAATGATTGGTGAATGCTCTTTGGTAAATCTGGGTCAGGGTTTGAAAAATAATGTTTTACATCATCTACTGTCCTAATTATAATACCATGATATTCAATCGCTTTGGGAGGTTCTATAGGAGGTGTAAGTTCTATAGAAGATTTATATTCTAATTTCCTTTTAATATCCTCTTGAGATTTTAATATGGGTTGAAATAGAGTTTGTAGATTTTCCGTTAATCCGAGTTGTTGTTATCTGTTATTTTCAACTTGGGTCTTTATTTTATTCTTAGCTTTGATATATTCTCTATTTCTTTTTTAAATATTATTCCAATCGCTACTCATTTTTAAAAAAATAAAATTAACATATATCGTTCATAACTCTTTCACCCGCAGGTTTTCTAGTATTTACAAATACATATCCATAATCATCTGGATTTCTCCATTGAGCTTTACAAACTTTTTTGAATGTATCTCTGTCCATTCCGTGATTTATCGATTGAACGATTTGAGATAAATCTTTGTCGTTTCAAATAATAAAAAATAATTCGCATTTTTTCTAATGAACATAGAATCCATCCCGTAAAAAGATTGGGATTGGTATATGCAGTGACAGTTGTGATGTCTTCCTTTCGTGAAGAATTCTTGTTGAACGGCTTGATTTCTTTGCGCTACGCAGTCGTCAAACACTAGTAAGTTCTTTCGCTCGCTATCAATTTGAGACAAATCTAGATCATTAACATTTTTCGTAAGAAAAACTTTTATATCCGTTGGTTTCTTTCCTTCGATGTAATTATCTATGAAATCTTTTAATTCCACTTCTTCTTCGTTTTCTTTGTAATATTGAAATAGGTCTTGAACATCTTTCTTTGGTAGATATTCTAAAGCTTTGAGAAATTGATAATACGATTGCTCTGGTGTTGTTGTGTAGATACACAAAGAATCGAAATCTAAAAGGTTTGGTGTTGTCAACATGTTAAAAGTGAGATGAGTTTTCCCAGAACCGGAACTACCGCATATACACATGAGCATTGGGTTATTAGGAAATATTTGTGAATGATTAATTTTTTTACCCATTTATTATTATTTTAATTTGTTCCAAAAATAACTCCTTCTCCTTTATACTTCGAAAGATATATTCCTTCTCCGGTGTGTATATTTTTTAAAAATATTCCATTACCCTTATGTTTGACTTTGATTTCTCCTGTGTCAATACTATCTACTAATTTATTTAATCCTTGTTTAACAGTTATCTTGGTTTCTTCACTAAATCTTTTTCCAAATTCTTTCATTGTGCCTATCATTTCTCCCACTCCTGAACCTTTCTTTTCCGTTTTAGGTTTTTTAACCTCTGCTGCCAACTTTTCCATTTTTAAATTATGTCTATGTTCTTCGGCTGCTGTTACTGCAGCTGCTATCTTTTCGTTGGCAACGCTTACTCCACCAGCTGTAGCACCAGCTATTGTACCGGCTGCAATAAGTCCACTAAATATTAAAGGAAGGGAAAATATAAATCCACCTTTAGTTGGTGAAGCTGTTTCTATAGCTTCTATTATTTTCTTGACTAAAGTTTCTGGTTTCATTTTTAAAGGTGTATTTTTTACTCAATTCTTATCATTCTTCTATCTGCTATTTTAATTAAATGTTTTGCTTCTTCCAATAATAAACAATAACCTGTTACATCTCCTTGTGTTTTTTCAATATGAATATTTATGTTCACTCCTGTTTTGAAAAGATCTTCTTGGTGAGCTGATAGATCAAAACAGAAGATTGGATGATTAAGTGCAAAATCTACATATTCAAACTGAGGTAGATTTCAAAATAATTCACACATATTTTTATAGTTTCTATACAATTCATTATAATCCTTTGTGGTTGGATTAATTGTTAAAGGTTGGTTAGGATAATTATCGTTGTTTAATCTTACTTGAACTTTATGGATTAAAGGATCTTGAGTTTGGTTCATTGCCACTCTAAAGACAATATTGTTATTCGTTTGAGAATCTGGTAAGTTCTTGAAACCAACTATTAAATATCTTGCTGGTTTAATAGTGTTAGTGATTGGCCATGTGGTGGATTCTCTAGTTAAAGTCATGCTACCTACCGTGTTACGATGAAGAAAAGCTATTTCAATATCTTTAGTTAACGAGTTGAATATTCTCGTTTCTACTTCAATTGATGGTGTTATTACTGGTATGAAAAGTTGGAGATTCGTTATTTCTAATTTTGCATCTGAACCATTCTCTCCAAAGAATATCTTATCGTCGTTTATTTCTCTTTGTAGATGAATTTTATATGGTAAGCCTATGGAAACTTTTTTATGTTCCAACAGACCGAATAAAGGATATAATTTCCAATTTACGTAATTACCCCACCTATTATTCTCAACAACATTATTATACTGTAATACTCGTTTTTCGAATCCATGATTAACTGCTCGCCCTACTCTTTCTATCGTGTTTCGAGCAACAACTCTCACTCTAGCTAAATCGGCATCATTTGCAAGATTTCTTATCGGTTCCTTTAAAATACTTCCATCTCCAACATCGGGTATCCAACCTGAGACTGAATCGAAATCTTTAGGATATAAAACTGTTTTCAACATTGTGTTGAATTCCCCAGGATGTTTGATTGTTTCTATCGGATTTGAACCAGCTTCCAAAACCATCTCGGTAAATAAAGATGGAAAGAAATTGTTTTCTAACGTTGTATTTGTTTGTGGAACACGATTTTCATTGGGAGTTCCATCTTTAATTTTGAAATCGCATCTGTAATAAGCATCGGAAAGAAGCAACCAATTCGATAATGAATTTATTTCGAAGGTAATTCTACCACCATCATTCAATTGGGATTTAGAACCAACAGTGGGTGAGATGATAATATAATCCTCTTTTTTCTTGTTAAATGAATAACAAATTGGATCGTATAATCTAAAGATTGGATCTAGTATTTTATTTGCCATTTTAAGGTTTAAAATTTGAGTAGAAAATTTCAAAAAAAGAGTTATTTTAATATGCTTTTTTGATGGAATGTAGGATATTGATTGAAGGTGTTTTTTGGTGTATGCAATGTATGGTGTTTAGGATGTTTTATGAAATGTAGGGTGTTTTGCTGTAAGAATTTATGAAATGTAGGGAATTTATGAAATGTAGGGAATTTAGGTCTTGTTTTTTTTTGGGAATTCATAGATTGGTTGGATTTTTCCCATAAAATGAAATGGAATGTGGAAAAATCCGAACAATCTATGAGCTCTTATACTACTGTTTATATGAGGCCATAAAGTTGGCATCCCAATGTGTCTCTTGAACACACAGAATATCTAATTGTTTAACTCCAATGTCAGCGATCAATCCATTTATATTTAAAGTGGCTACTTTGACCATTATATTTATATATAGTAAATATAGACGTATAAAGTACATAGTTAGAAAGATTTATTTTTAACAGGAGTTAAATTTTTCACCGATTTATCAGATTTTTTACCGACCGTTTTCTTGAATTGTGAAATCGATTGACTATTCCGCAGTTTCATAACTGACTCACTAATAATGGCACCTGATACTTTTTTACGCTTTGGATTTTTAAACTCAGTCATTTGACCTTCTTTATTAATACCACTGTTATCTGTCTCCATCTCATTGACATCATCAAAAACAATTGAAGTTACATCTTTCCTCTCATCCACACCAGATATTTGATCAATGGGATCAGAAATTAAAATAATAGGCAAACTTTGTGCAGCACTTTCTGCACTCTCATCAACAGGAATTTCAATATCAATACTATTTTCCACATGTAATTTATCAACAACGGACTCCTGAAATTTATCAACAACAGGCTTATTCACACCACTACTGTTATCAGTGACTGGCTCATTGCCAACACCAAAGGTACCTTTACCGTTAGTGCTCGTGCTGGCCTCTTCACCTACACCAGTTGTTATTTCAAACACCGCATCTGCACCACTTGCGACGCACTCACATTTCCAGTCATACAAAGAACACCTCGGACACAAAACTGCAACACATGACCTCTTCCCATGACCAGGTTGTTGGCATTTAAAACATTTTAACTCTGGACATTGAGAAATAATATGACCCGGCTGTAAACAAACGAAGCAAACTTTTTCTTGATCATTGTGTCGAATTGAATACGACAAACCATCAAAATTAGTCGCATAAGGCAAACTGGATTTAGTCGGAGGAAATTCCACCTTAAGAAAGCGAGTACCATCATACTTTCTTTTCCCATTAAAATCTGCCGTTTTCCTGGTAAGTGGGCCTGCTGGCTTGACACCCCATGAATCTAATTTAGCAAAGATTTCTGCATCATTAACATATACAGGAATATGCATAAATGACACGACCTTAATTCGAGAATCTACAAATTTACAATGTAAACCATCATCACCATTAATTAGCCCTTCATTGACTAATTGACTCGCAATTGTTTTATTGATTAATGTCACATCATAAGAGTTGTTACAAGCCAAAACCGAGTGCGTGCCAAGTTTATTTTCAACCAGTTCAATGATGTCACACGCTCTATATTTCTTACTGTCTTGTATAAACACCTTGACAGTGTTGTCCTTCAACAACATGCCAACACCTGCCATCTTGGAAAGTTTGTATTCAGTAAATGGATAAAACAGGGCCGAAGCCCTCAAACGGCTAAAACTAACCAGAAAACAAGAAAAAGTTACCTCAAAAACACACAAAAGCAACCTTAATTGTCTTCTGTACCAAATAAAACGAACAAACACTTCGATTAAATGCGATTTTCATAGAATTAGTAAAACACGTCTACATCCTATCAAAATCAAAACGGAAGTCCACTCTAGCCACTGAGCTATGGAGGTTTGAGAGCGACAGCTGTCTCAGGGTTTTGTGCGGTCATTGCATCACATACAACATTCTCTAGGTTATTTAATGGATAGATAAAGATTTTACTGGTTTTGAATAATAATAAATGATTGCTTACTTTGAAAAATATCTGCCCCGAGTGAGGATCGAACTCACGACCTTCAGATTGCTCTTCTCTTGAGTGGATTATGAGACTGACGCGCTGCCTACTGCGCTATCAAGGCATGGAAAGGTAAGGCTGTTACATGAAAGTCATTCGTTTATTTTCTCTCTCTCAATTTTATATTACTCGACACCCTCCCCTTCAAGCGAGCGAGACAATGATAGTTTACTGCAGTGTTATTCGGGGGTGGAACGGTACCATATTAACATTGCTGGATATGCTTAAGTCGATTCATTTATACTTGTCAAAACATGGATTAGGTTTTTATAACGAGTAAAACAAGCCCTTTTGTCGGCGTCGGTGGTGTAAAGGTTAGCATGGTTGCCTTCCAAGCAATCGATCCGGGTTTGATTCCCGGCCGACGCAAGATAATTTTTGATCTTTGAATACATGCACGGCTTGTTTTCAAGCTTCCTTCAGTTTTCTTTCGCCGAAAATACATCAAAAAATATCCTGCAAAATTTTTATCCGTGGTATGATCCCACTACCTTTCGAACATTTTAAATAATTTTGTCACTGTATCTAAAACCCGACGTGGCAAAAGCGGTGTACGGTCCATTTACCCCCATCGACGAATCTCTCGAACAGGAAATTTGTCATAAATGATGAAAAGTATACCCATCAATTGACACAGCCTCAAGGGAGGTTCGAACTCCCGACCCCTGGTTTACGAGTCCAGTGCTCTAACCACTGAGCTATTGAGGCACCGTTCGCAGTAGAAAACTGCATCTGTGGCGAAAATCCTGCATGTGTTGAATTGATCCCATGCAAGAAAAACTGTGCGCCGCCCGGGAATCGAACCCGGGTCGCAAGAATGGGAATCTTGTATGATACCACTACACCAGCGGTAGGGTAGGTAAGAACCAGCTCTTTTCAAAGGTGAAAACACAGTTTTCAGATTGAAAATATCTCAATTAGCTCAAAAGTTATGGCAGTTTGAAGTCGAAAAATCGGGGGTCTTTTTGTCTAAAATGCTCCTTCTTTGGTTCAACAAAAAGGTCAAAGGTTAACGGCACAAAAAGTGAGAGTTTTAATGAAATAAAACACACTTAAATGCAAATAACTTTTTTAATTTTCGAAATATTTACAAAATTTTTTCAGTTTCGTAAAATTTTGGACCATTTGCAACGAAATCGACTACAAAAAAAATTTCCGCGGAATTTAAAGCGGCCATTTTGTTTCTAAAAGGCGTAAAAATTACTGTTCTTCATAATTATTCCCACTTTAATTCATATTTTGATGTTGTATTTAACATTAAATGTCGAAATTCCAAGACAATTTAGAGAAATTACCATTTTAAGATTAAAATGTACATGCTTCGTTTCCATGGCAACTATTTTCATTCAAAATGGCCGCCACTTCGACGCGATGATGCAAATAGTTCCTAAAAATGAACAAAAAATTTTTCATTCACTTAATATACACTTGTAATATATCATTTTAAAGCTCTTTTTTACAGGATTCTAATGGTACCAGAATTAATCACATCGAACCTTGCTGTGTAATATTAGAACCCCTGAAAGAATTCAAAGAAAAAAATATATAAAAAAATTGAAAAAAAATTAAAACAATATATTAAAGTCCTAAAAACTAACTTGGTCACAGGAAATTGTCTCCCTTTGACCACAAATTGAATTGAAGTCACATATCACTTTATAATCAAAACTTAGAACCTCTCAAAAATTTCGATCAAAAAAATACATTAAAATAATCATAATAATTCTCAAAAAATATTTAATAAATTTCTTGAAATTAAAAAAAAAGATTTTTAGGCAGTGAATTCTACCTTGGTCAAAGACAGCGCTGCAAATTTGACTCTATGTCAAGTTGACCTGTATTTACATATCACTGAGCAGTCCAAAACATAGCACTCCTGAAATGATAATAAAAAAAAAAAATTAAAAAGTTTTAAAATTTTGGGTGCTAACCCGAAACCTAACCTAGGCTTAACAAATTATCTCCCTTTGACCACAAGCTAATTACAGAAGTCAACTGAAGAAAATATTTCAAAATATGCAAGTGAAAAATTTTTTTTTTTAATTTGTCAATTCAACCTCCACAATCGGTGAACAATTTTTTGAAACAATATTTACCTTATTCTTGATGCTTTACACTGTTTTCTGTTTTTCCTTCTCCATCTACAAAATAAAGAAAATGAGGTTTTGAGTAGCCTACATAAGATGTTAAAAATCTATGGGGAACCTATTTCATTTAATCGTTACCGGTATCAATAAAATATGTTTCCCTTATTCATGTGGGTTTTATTTTGAATTAAGCTTAGGTCGACTAAACTAGATCTACTGTCACTTATGATATTTAATTCTGTCCCATTAAAAAATTCACTTACCTTCACATCTGAGAACTGATTATTTAATTAATATCACATAAAACATTGATTTTCTGCATCTGTAATAAAATAAAGAAAATCATCAAAATAATTCCATGTAGATTATATGTCTAAGTAAAGGCCCCAAATATTTGAATGGTAATATCTCAGATTTTCTAGTTTTAGAGTAGATCAAACTAAGCCTATCCTATGCATATGGACTTTAATGATGTCCAACCAACTCCCTACACTGATGTTGGAAAGAAAAATTGGAAAATATGATATAAATGTGCCAAGAATGATGTCGATTGCTTGATAAGATGATCTTATTCAATTCAAAGAAAAGGTTGAGAGTGAGAGAAATGAAAGTAAACATTCGTGAATCAATTCAAATATTTCTGGAGGAGGAACTATAAAAATCTGGACATTTGAATGCGAATGTTGAATTACATTTATTGCAATGACTAAGCAACTAAATTTTAGCAATATTCACGATGATTTTTGAATGTTATTTATCCAATTTTAAACGAAAAATAACTTTACCGTTAATTTTCTGAGACTGCGGTTGAAAGGTCAAAGTTTTTAGTCAAAGTTATCCAGACGTGTCGAGTCATTAACCACACCACTGCCATTTACGTCTTATTGATCAAACATTATTGTGTGTACACATGCGTATCACGTGACACGCAAGTTTTTCGGCGTAGTTGAAAGGATTTTGATTCTGCAACACCCTACCTATTTTCAAATCAATTTCCGGGAGAACTGGCTGAACGAAATTAAAAAACACAAAAACTGGGATTTGGTGGAATAAACATAGAAATATAATCTGAGTGAAATAATTTTTTTGCGCCTCGGAAAATACAAAATTTTTTGAGGTTTTCCAGGAAATTCGGCACTATTTTCACAAAAATTAAAAAAAAAAATCATTTCACCTAGATTCATAAAATTTATCTATCTGGCTATCCAACAATACCAATTTTGTCAAAATTGGCCCAGCCAATTCTCCCGGAAATTCATTTAAAAAAAGCATCCATTTTCGCGAAAAGTTGTGCCATGAGCGAGAAGATGGCCGCCGGCCGAAAATTCGACTTCAACTTACAATTTCTCGAGATAGCACCGATACAAAAAATAATTACAATTATTGTTAAAAAGCTTATTCAATTCCACTTTTAGTGATGTATAACATATCTGGTTAAAAAATTGTGGAATTAGATGATGATCTGTTAAAGACGTGAAGGTGGCGATTTCGCCATTTTAGACAAGATTGCGTGACGTCACTGAACACCCTACCAGCGGCGCATTCAGTCGCATGAAACAACCCGTTGGAACAATTGGGGTCATTGTTCAATAGAAAACAGAAGCAAAATTATTTGTCAGAAGTGGGATTCGAACCCACGCCTACATTCGTAGACCAGAACGCTCATTTCGATTAATGGCAGCGAAGGAAGATGTCCTTGAGTCTGGCGCCTTAGACCGCTCGGCCATCCTGACATACCCGTGCATGAAGGATTACTCCAAGCGCTCATTATGACGTATTTGCATTGTTTGGTATATGAATTGTTCCAGTGTGCTATAACGTAAAGGGTTACATTTTTCTGCATTTTCCAAAGAAAAAAAAGGGTCTGCCGCCAGAGTTCAGCACTCCTGCCGAAACCCGGGATCGAACCAGGGACCTTTAGATCTTCAGTCTAACGCTCTCCCAACTGAGCTATTTCGGCTGACATCAGCCGTTGTGAAATAAGGTTGGGCATTGAAGCACTGCAGTGGATGGATTAAGGATTAGGAAGGGCTTGAGATGTGATTAATTCACAGGACTAGAGAACGTTGAATGAATACAAAAATACATTTCGACGAGGATGGGATTCGAACCCACGCGAGGAGACCCCAATGGATTAGCAGTCCATCGCCTTAACCACTCGGCCACCTCGTCACATGCCTTCCGCATGTCCAATGCGTTTTGTTTCTCAGGCAATTGGATCGAATATTATTCATTCCGTTAAAACAAAAAGTGTCTGCCGCCAGAGTTCAGCACTCCTGCCGAAACCCGGGATCGAACCAGGGACCTGTAGATCTTCAGTCTAACGCTCTCCCAACTGAGCTATTTCGGCTGACATCAACCGTAGTGAAATAAGGTTGGGCATTGAAGCACTGCAGTGGATGGAATAAGGATTAGGAAGGGCTTGAGATGTGATTAATTCACAGGACTAGAGAACGTTGACTGAGGTCGAGAATTCGGAAACAGGTATTTCTACAGAACGGATCACAAAAAATACATTTCGACGAGGATGGGATTCGAACCCACGCGAGGAGACCCCAATGGATTAGCAGTCCATGGCCTTTTTTTTTTTTTAACTTGTTTTATTAAAACAAAACCATTACAAAGTACAAAATATCACAATTGTTAACTCCATTAAAATATTAAATAAAATATTTTTATCAAACTTACTAAAATACATAAGTTTGGCACTTATGTGATAAATATTATGAAAAAGATATGAAATATTGAATTTAATTTAAAAGGTAAGAAACTATCTATTAAAAGTTACATAAACTACGTTATCTTTGATATCTATGTAAGGATTAAAAACAAAATTAAGACGAAATTTGACTTCAAAACCTCCTGATTTATACTTGAAATACAAAAGATTCAAATGATTTATCAACATAGTTTTGAAAATTTTAATAAGATTCACTTATACCTTGGATTTTAAAAATAAAAGTCTTCTCTTAACTAAAGCTAGTCTTAATATACTGAACATAATTACCAGGAACAGATTATCTGCAGTTTTCTTAATCGGATATCCTAGCAGTATCCATTTGTGAAATTCTGAAAGAGTAAACCCAGATTCTTGGTGAAACACTTATATCATATCAGAATTTAAAGTTATTAAATATGAAATTGAATAATGAATGAATAAGGAGATGCTGTAAGGTTTCTGGTTCATTACAAAATACACACTTTGGACTTTCTAGTTTGCCAATACAGTACAACTTGGAGTTTGTCCAAATAATATTGTGTACCACACGGAAATCATTATCTATCTGTTCAGCCGATTTAACTGATAGAAAAACTGATCGACAAACATCAAGCCACTTTAATTCAAAACCATTAGTTTCCCAAAAGTTAATGCAAGCAGGTGGCTTAGAGTTATGATCCCGTAACAAACAATAAATTACATAAGTCTTAAATTCAGTTACAGACAGAGATAAGTCTACAAAAACTAACTTTAAATTGGTTTCATTGCTTACTATATGTCTTTCAGAAGATACCATCACCTTCCAGCTCAACGGAAGACAATCAAGTATTAACTGATATTGGTTAATTATCTTTGCTCGGCTTAAATCTGGATATAAATCTTGAACTATTTCTACAATTATATGATAAAAATCCTGGTATTCCGATGTAACAAAAATCATAGATCTTAATAATACCTGCTTCAATAAAATCACTACAATATAACAATTTAGAGTTATGACAAATATTGAGATTATCAAATAAGGGTTGGTTAAATACATCATTGTAATCTAATATCTCTAATGGCTCATTTCCACAAAGCAGATTCCAAGAATTAAGCATAGATCTGTAAAAGGGAGGTTCAAATGATAAGGATACAAACAACAGTTCAAAAGTACAGTTCATTTTCTTATATTTCATTAAGAAATATGACATTAGATGCTTCCATATTTGGTCATCTGAACATTTTAGATACTGTGAAAGCAAAACTAATCTGAAAGAAGCCATCTTTAGCCTGATAACATTGACATTTAATCCCCCTTCATCAAAAGCAGCACAAAGAGAGGTAGCTTTGATAAGAGGCGGCTTTCCATACCAAATAAAACTCCTTATTATAGAATTGAGCTTTTGTACTGCCCACTCTGGTATCAACAACACGAAGCATATACCAAACAGATGAAAGACATAACACATTTACAACTAAACATCTTCCTTTCAGATTTAGTTCTCTCTGTTTCCACATGTTTAATACCTTTTGAATTTTGGCAACCTTTGATTCCCAATTCAGAATCTGACATCTGGCTTTATCTGGGCCTAAATACACACCTAGAATTTTGGTACTGTCAGTAACAACTTTAACACCTAATAAATCTCTATGGGTGTCATCAATAGCAGCAGTACCAACTACTAGTAATTCTGATTTACTGGCATTGATTTTAGCCCCAGATGCAGAACAATACAAATTAAGGGTTGACATAGTTTGGAAAACAGAATCTAAATCACCAACTGTAACAGTGGTATCGTCAGCATGTTGATATATAAGAGAGGATGCATCAGCACCAGGTATTCTAATACCATTGATACTACGGTTTGCTTTTAATAATAAATTCAAAGGTTCAGCAGAAAGTACATATAAAATGGCAGAAATCGGACATCCCTGTCTCACAGATCTATGTATTGGAAAAGAATTAGATATATACCCATTTACTTTCACCGAACTCTTGATTCCATTATAAAGTAATTTTATACGATTAATAAATGCCTGACCAAACCCAAAACTTTCCAAAAGAGTAAACATGTATGGGTGGGAGACTCTATCAAAGGCTTTCTCTGCGTCTAATTTAAGTAAGTATAAAGGAATATCTTCCATATCTACATAATCAATCAAATCTCTTAAATTGTGAATATTTGTAGCAATATCTCTACCAGGGATACATGAAGATTGATCACAGGAAACAATAGATGTCAAAGTGGTCTTTAGCCTAAGTGCAAGTAACCTAGAATATATCTTATAATCTACATTTAGTAGACTTATGGGCCTCCAGTTCTTAAGGGATTCTCTGTCACCCCTGTTTTTGTAGAAGAGGGAAATTACACCCATTTTCATCGACCTTGACATTTCACCAAGTCGTTCTATTTCATAAATAACTTGCAAAAACAGAGGTCCTAAAACATCCCAAAAGTGCTGATAAAACTCCACGGTTAAACCATCACGACCAGGCGATTTGTTTCTCTTCATCCCTTTGAGTGATGCAAAAAGATCATCCAAAGTTATATCAGAGTCACAAAAGTCCCGATCGGCTTTATCAATTTTATTGTCAATAAGATCAAAAAGAGTATCCTTATTCTCCAAATTGATTGATTCTTCTGCATATAGGTTTGAATAAAATGTTGCAGTTTCGCTAAGAATACCCATAGTTTCATAAACAGAATCGCCACCTTGGGTAACCAAAGACTTAATGGAGCATGATTCCTGCTTATGCCTTTCTAGGTTAATAAAATACTTCGAGCATTTGTCTGTTTCAAAAGCTATATCCGCTTTCGATCGTAAAATTGCTCCATCACATTTTGATTTCTCATGAATCTTAAGCTTTTCTTCAAGCTCAAAAATTTTATCATTATTAGCATTTGACAAATCACCAGCTTTACAATAATAATAATTAAGCTGTTTCTGAATACTCCAAAACTCCTCCTTTTGGCGCTTTCTAAATTTCTTAGCAAACAAAATGGAATACTGTTTTAATCTATATTTAAGGTTATCCCACCATATTAAGGGTTCTTCCTTCATAAGTGGACTCTGTATAGCTTGATTGATTTCATTCTTAATCTGAACATTATAATCAAAATTCTGTAAATAAGAATTATTCAAGACCCAGAGACCAGGTCCTCTGTCAAAATTGTTAAAATTCAGAATCAAAGTAACAAAACTGTGATCAGTTAAACTTGTGTGTGTGATAAAACAATAAGAGCATAATAAAAGAATTTGAGAGCTTACAAGAATATAATCAAGACGAGATTGTTTACAAACCCCTTTAACAATTTGTTGCCTCGTGAACATCTTTTTATCGGGGTTTTTCCTTCTCCAAATATCAAAGAGAGTTAAGGAGGACACAAAATCATTAAGCAATTTTGATTTAGCACCAAAAGAAACCAAACTCTTCGATCGATCCATGAAAGAATCAATAACATCATTAAAGTCACCGCAGATAATCACATCCTTTACATCTTTGATTTTGGCAGAAACACTCTCTAAAAATCTTTTTCGCGCCTGTTCTTCATTTGGCGCATACAGACAAACAATTTTTGTTTCAGTATCACATATAGTCAAAGCAATTTCTATAAGTCTCCCATCATTATCTGAATAAACCTCCTTACAATTGTCGGAAAATTTTTTACTCACAAAAATAGCACAGCCTTTATGACCATTTTGACCAATAGAATAAAAAATCTTGCCATCCCACAAATATTTAAAGGATGAAATAAAATCAATATTCCAATGCGTTTCTTGTACACAAACGATATCAAGATTTTTAATTTTAAGATCCGATACAAATAACTGAAATTTATTGACACTCCTTAGACCATTGATGTTAATTGTAGCAATTTTAGCCATTTTTTCTGTTACTTAATAAAATTTATTTAGGCAACTCAGATTCAACAACATGTTTAAAACTGCTCTTGCGTTTTGACTCTTTCTTTTTCTTTTTAGATAAAACAGTCGCACGATCACGCACACATTTCAATACAGTTTCCTTATTAGGAGCTGTTACTAATTTATGACGCCTAGGATTTATCCCAGAGTTGCTACTGCTACGGGAAACCTGAGAAAAATCATCACATTCCATAATATTATCCGATTCTTCATCCAAAGAAATGATTTCATCCGATTTATCACCATCTCTGGCATCACATTCATCCTCTGGGGCCACAACAAATTCAATAACCTTTTGTTTATCTGAAGACACACCAGTAGCTCCATTTGAAACAGAAGATTTTATATCCACAGGTATATTTTCAGCAACAGATTTAATTTCAACAACGGAGCCATTTTCTACAGCGGACCTTTTTTCTCCAACTGACCAATTTTCTACTCTGAGATTATCTTCTTTATTATCATTTTCAGCAATTGACCTATTATCATTTTCGGATCTGCTTTCATTTTCAGACCTATTTTCACTTATAGACTCACTTTTGGCAGAAATAACATTTTCACAAACTGAATCACTTTCAGGAACTATACCAATCATTCCTGATTTCACAGAATTTTCGCAAGAAGGAAAGCTTTCTGGCAAAACCATATCTCCAAACACCGAAGTGTCTCGATCTTGAATGCAGTTGCACTCCCATTTATATCGCCTACATCGCTTGCAAAATTCAGCTTTGCAAGAGCGTTTCCCATGACCATGCTGTTTGCACCGAAAACATTTAAAATCAGGACAATTAGCCATCACATGATCACACTTGAGACAAACATAACAGACTTTGCCTTGGTCATTATGTCTGACAGAATATGAAGATCCAAAAAAAGTTGTTGCAAACGGCAGACTAGAAACTGAATCAGGAAATTCAACTTTGAGATAACGAGTTCCGTCATATTTAAGCTTGCCATTGATGTCAATACACTTTCTTTCAATCTCAGAGACATGAGTTACGCCCCAAAATTTTAATTTAGACAAGATTTCATTATCAGAAACATAAACGGGTATGTGCATGAAAGAGACAACTTTAATTCTGGTATCTACAAAGGTACACTTAAACCGCGCCTCATCATCACCATCAGGCGCAATCTTTCAGTGAATATACTGCCGAGGTTGGCGATTTGACTATTGCAACAACTGTATCTTCACCAAGTTTATCCTCAACCAAATTTATTAAATCCGCATGTGAATAGTGTTGATTATCATTCACCTCTAAATAAACAGTGTTTTCTTTACACAATAAAGATACATCAGGTCTGACCGACATTTTAAGTTTTTGCTGGCTTCACAAAAGCCGGGCCAAAATGGCCCAATCAATTACTAAATTCACTATAATTTAAATTACAATACTCACAAAGTGTATATGAACAAATATATCATAAATTCGTAGGGTATGAACCCAAGGAATGTCAGGATTACAATCGATTAGAAGAGAAACATGTAAACACGTCTATCTCCTACAAAAAACCGTCCATCAACTCAACCACTCCTCCACCTCGTCACATGCCTTCCGCATGTCCAATGCGTTTTGTTTCTCAGGCAATTGGATCGAATATTATTCATTCCGTTAAAACAAAAAGTGTTGATAATTCACCACAGCATGAAATATTGAGTACTGAGATTAGAATTGAGAAAAAAAAGTTCTCAGCCCCCAGGGAGGATTGAACTCCCGACCCCTGGTTTACAAGACCAGTGCTCTAGCTACTGAGCTATGGAGGCTTGAGAGCGACAGCTGTCTCAGGGTTTTGTACGGTCATTGCATCACATACAACATTCTCTAGGTTATTTAATGGATCTATAAAGATTTTACTGGTTTTGAATAATAATAAATGATTTCTTACTTTGAAAAAATATCTGCCCCGAGTGAGGAACGAACTCACGACCTTCAGATTGCTCTTCTCTTGAGTGGTTTATGAGACTGACGCGCTGCCTACTGCGCTATCGAGGCATGGAAAGGTCAGGCTATTACATGAAAGTCATTCGTTTATTTTCTCTCTCTCAATTTTATATTACTCGACACCCTCCTCTTCAAGCGAGCGAGACAATGATAGTTTACTGCAGTGTTATTCGGGGGTGGAGCGGTACCATATTAACATTGCTGGATATGCTGTCTCAGGGTTTTGTACGGTCATTGCATCACATACAACATTCTCTAGGTTATTTAATGGATCGATAAAGATTTTACTGGTTTTGAATAATAATAAATGATTTCTTACTTTGAAAAAATATCTGCCCCGAGTGAGGATCGAACTCACGACCTTCAGATTGCTCTTCTCTTGAGTGGATTATGAGACTGACGCGCTGCCTACTGCGCTATCGAGGCATGGAAAGTTCAGGCTATTACATGAAAGTCATTCGTTTATTTTCTCTCTCTCAATTTTATATTACTCGACACCCTCCTCTTCAAGCGAGCGAGACAATGATAGTTTACTGCAGTGTTATTCGGGGGTGGAGCGGTACCATATTAACATTGCTGGATATGCTTAAGTCGATTCATTTATACTTGTCAAAACATGGATTAGGTTTTTATAACGAGTAAAACAAGGCCCTTTGTCGGCGTCGGTGGTGTAAAGGTTAGCATGGTTGCCTTCCAAGCCATCAATCCGGGTTCGATTCCCGGCCGACGCAAGATAATTTTTGATCTTTGAATACATGCACGGCTTGTTTTCAAGCTTCCTTCAGTTTTCTTTCGCCGAAAATACATCAAAAAATATCCTGCAAAATTTTTATCCGTGGTATGATCCCACTACATTTCGAACATTTTAAATAATTTTGTCACTGTATCTAAAACCCGACGTGGCAAAAGCGGTGTACGGTCCATTTACCCCCATCGACGAATCTCTCGAACAGGAAATTTGTCATAAATGATGAAAAGTATACCCATCAATTGACACAGCCTCAAGGGAGGTTCGAACTCCCGAACCATGGTTTAGGAGACCAGTGCTCTAACCACTGAGCTATTGAGGTACCGTTCGCAGTAGAAAACTGCATCTGTGGCGAAAATCCTGCATGTGTTGAATTGATCCCATGCAAGAAAAATGTTGGTTAAAGTGTGCGCCGCCCGGGAATCGAACCCGGGTCGCAAGAATGGGAATCTTGCATGATACCACTACACCAGCGGCGCATTCAGTCGCATGAAACAACCTGTTGGAACAATTGGGGTCATTGTTCAATAGAAAACAGAAGGAAAATTATTTGTCAGAAGTGGGATTCGAACCCACGCCTACATTCGTAGACCAGAACGCTCACTTCGCTGAATGGCAGCGAAGGAAGATATCCTTGAGTCTGGCGCCTTAGACCGCTCGGCCATCCTGACATACCCGTGCATGAAGGATTACTCCAAGCGCTCATTATGACGTATTTGCATTGTTTGGTATATGAATTGTTCCAGTGTGCTATAACGTAAAGGGTTACATTCTTCTGCATTTTCCAGAGTTGCCGCCAGAGTTCAGCACTCCTGCCGAAACCCGGGATCGAACCAGGGACCTTTAGATCTTCAGTCTAACGCTCTCCCAACTGAGCTATTTCGGCTGACATCAACCGTTGTGAAATAAGGTTGGGCATTGAAGCACTGCAGTGGATGGATTAAGGATTAGGAAGGGCTTGAGATGTGATTAATTCACAGGACTAGAGAACGTTGACTGAGGTCGAGAATTCGGAAACAGGTATTTCTACAGAACGGATTACAAAAAATACATTTCGACGAGGATGGGATTCGAACCCACGCGGGGAGACTCCAATGGATTAGCAGTCCATCGCCTTAACCACTCGGCACCCTCGTCACATGCCTTCCGCATGTCCAATGCGTTTTGTTTCTCAGGCAATTGGATCGAATATTATTCATTCCGTTAAAACAAAAAGTGTCTGCCGCCAGAGTTCAGAACTCCTGCCGAAACCCGGGATCGAACCAGGGACCTTTAGATCTTCAGTCTAACGCTCTCCCAACTGAGCTATTTCGGCCGACAAAAGATATGTTTTCATCTTGTGATTCATTTTAGCATTTCCTCTCTGTACATATCAGGTAAATATCCTGATTTTTTTGGGTATTATATAACAAATCAACCAAGAGCCCGACGATAGCTCAGTTGGTAGAGCGGAGGACTGTAGTGTTGTGTAGTTATCTGTTATCCTTAGGTCGATGGTTCAAATCCGTCTCGTCGGATATTCGTTTTTCTTTCCATTCATGCTAGTATTGATAATTCACCAGAACATGAAATATTGAGTACTGAGATTAGAATTGAGAAAAAAAAGTTCTCAGCCCCCAGGGAGGATCGAACTCCCGACCCCTGGTTTACAAGACCAGTGCTCCTTTTTTTTTTTTTTTTTTTTTTAATTAATAATACTTATTCAATAAAACATACATACAATTATATCCATACAGAAATAATGTTAGGCCCTCTATATACAATTGTACAAAATTAAAAACTTGTTTATATATTTTTCAAAAGTTTTAATTTTAGAGTGGACTATGGTACAGAAGATTAAAAGGGATAAAAGATTTTTTTTTTTTTTTTCTTTTTCTTAATTACAAGTTAAAAGCATAGCCTCTTAATAACAGTATGTACATTGATAGTCAATGATTTGTTACAAATTATATATAATAATGTAATATTGCATATAAGTAAACAAAGGCTTTTAGACACCTCATAATATTACACTAGGAAGGGTCTTGGGATCCAAAATGAAGCAGTGAAATGAGGGGAAAAAAAGTTTAAAATGATCGAATATAGCCAAATCCATTATATTTGGTGTTATTGATTAAATTGATAGAAATATAAATGAAAGTTTTGCTTAAAATCAGTCTTTGGAGTATTAAAGGATGCCAAAATAAAAAACAATAGAGCCAGTTTGGTATGAAGTGGCTTGATAAAGGAGGCTACAGTGTAGTATTGATATTTAGTAACAGTAGAGATGATCACGTGATTAGTATGGACAGTAGGGTGTGTTTATAACGGTGAAGAAGGAGTATTACAAGATCACATGGTTTCATGAGCCGTTAGTTAACGGTAGTGTAGTCAAAGGAATCACGTGACAAGAATACAGACAGTCCCATATAAGGTCACTATTACTACGTTGTTATTGAATATAAAGTAGGTCAGGTTAAGATCGTCTGCTAGAGACTATAAAGAAATAGGCAGGTACATCAAGTCAATATGGTTCAGGGAGCAAAATTTTGAATGTGTAATGAATTAAATAGGTCATATTGTACTGAAAGGTTTCTTTAGCATGATTTTACTACAAATTTAATTTTAAAGGGGTATATTATGAGGTATTTGAAGCACATATTATTATGGTTATTAGAATTTCTTACATAATAAGGGTTTTTCCATCAGGCTAAGTGATGTTGAGGGTGGGTTCTAAATTGATAACATCAATATAGGAAGGGTAAGCTAGGAGAGCTTTAAACGATGAATCACTATACAAATGATACAAATATTTCAAATGAGTATTTAACAATTTTAAGAATAAAGGTTTGACATCCATGTAACGGTTTGTCTTAACAAATAAGTTTCTGCGTTTAATGATGGCAAGTCTAACAAAGGATAAAATGAGATTCAAGATCTTATTGACTTTCTTACAAGATGAAAGTTTGTATGCTA